CTGAGACTCGTGATATTGCTGAGTCTTCCTCAAAATCAAAGAAACATTTTGTTTTGGTAAGTTAATCACTTCTCATTCAAGCTCTTTCACTCACTGAAATTGCGAAATTTATACAAAATGGTTTAGAGTGACGAAGATGTTCCATATGAAGAGGATATATTGAGAAATCCTACTTCTTTACGCAGTTGGCAGCGATATATCGACCACAAAAGAAAAAGCAATGCTCCATGGAGGCAGACTTGTCAGGTCAGTCGTTCTCTTTTGCTTAAGAAAGTTTTATTCTTCCGCTAGTAGAGTGTCAAAAGTTGCGAAATTACTAATAGGTGCCAGGATTCAAGACGTCTTCTTTTCAGCGTTTATTCTTTTGATTTCAGATCTATGAACGTGCTCTGAAGGTTTTTGACCGAAGTTATAAACTTTGGTACAACTATTTGCGTTTTCGTCAGCGTGTCATAGCTCACAAACCACCAACGGACATATCATGGGCTCATCTTTGCGATGCTTATGAAAGATGTCTCATACACATGCACAAGGTATTCTATACCTCACTTCTATCATTTTCTTTTTCGAGAACTGTCAAGATTGACTTTTATTTACATATTTCTGTGTTTTAATTTATTTTACGGAGTCTGTTTGCTAAATTTGTTTCTGACTTTTTGAAGTTACGTCAGGCGTGTGGTTGAGTTTGAAGCGAGGATTTTTGGCAAAATTTCTCCATGTCTAAAACGATCTTCTTTAAGGCATTTCCTAGACATCTAAAATTAATCTTTTTTTGTTACTTCATTTTGGATCATATACTTCTCCCGCTCCTCTTGACTTTACTTGGCAAATTTGATTTGGTAGATCATTTACGCATGTCTTCAGATGCCCCGAATCTGGATGGACTACTGTACCATAATGACAAAACGACGAATTATTACTGATACTCGTCGTGTGTTTGACAGGTAAGAGTGGCCTGCATACGTTTCTAGTATAACCGTAATCGTTGTAGAGCTCTTCGAGCGCTTCCTGTCACGCAACATCTACGAATCTGGCCCCTGTATATCAAGTTTGTCACCAGCCATGACATTCCAGAGACAGCGATTAGAGTGTACAGAAGGTAACATTTTAGTTTCTCAATCAGCTTTCATAGTTACAATATACTTTTAGATATTTGAAATTGTATCCAAGGGCTCGCGAAGATTTTGTAGAGTATCTGCAGAAGATTGACCAGCTAGATGAAGCGGCCAAGCAATTGGTGGCGCTGGTAAATGAAGACATGCCAGTCTCGGATAAAGGAAAAACTGTACATCAGGTACATTTTGAAATCACATGATTGATTTTGCATTATTTGTTTTTCTTGTATTTTTTGATATATAACTTGCCTCAACTATACTTCGAATAATAGTTTATTCTCTACGAGCACTTTTTTTCAGCTATGGGCTGAGCTCTGCGAGCTTATTTCCAAAAATCCCAAGAAGGTCTACTCACTAGATGTCAACGTTATAATGAGGCAGGGTATACAGAAATACTCAGATCAGGTAGGATATTTCCCACCTCAATTTTTGCAGATTTTCAAGCTTGTTATTGTAGGTTGGTGTGTTATGGTGTGCATTTGCTGAATATTACATAAGAGCTGGACAGTTCGAAAGGGTTGGTGTTTATCATCACTTTTTCCTCTTATTCTTGTTCTAATTGAGGAAGGATATCAATTCTATCTGAATTATTCAGGCTCGCGATATATACGAAGAAGCTATGATCTCTGTCAAAACTGTCCGTGACTTCACCCAGATTTTCGATGCTTTTGCGGCTTTCGAGGAAAGAAATACGGCGGCACGGATGGATAACTTGGCAGAACCTCCTGATGAAGAAGACGAACTGGAGCTAGAATGGTTGTTTGCTAGGTGAGTTCAAATTTCTGTTGTCTTTGTGATGTAAGTCGCTTTCTTTGTATATAACTGCATCCATATTTGTAGGTTCGAGCACCTTATGGCTAGACGTCCACTTCTACTGAACAGTGTGCTTCTGCGGCAAAACCCACACAATGTGCATGAATGGCTTAATCGAGTTGCTTTGTATGAGGGACAGCCTGAGAAGGTAGGAAAATAAAGAATGACA